TAGGGATTTTGGGGTTTTAGGGTTTGGGGGTTTTGGGGTTTGGGGGTTTTGGGGTTCAGGGATTTTGGGGTTTTAGGGGTTGGAGGTTTAGGGTCCTGGTTCCGAGGTTGGTATTAGGACGAGGTTATTGGGAGCTCGGAGTTCCGGGTTTCGGGTTTTGGTTTGTAGCATCGGCTTGACGCTTTCCGGGAATTAAGGAACGGGGTAGGCGGGACGGAGATACAGATCCATTCCTCCACTACCTATGAGCAACTTACTGGTTCTTAGGCAGGAATATGGCAATACATTCTACAAGATTTTTTTGGGATTATATTCCCTTATTCCCTACTAACAAACAGTAGGACAAAGAGGCAATGAAAGACCAACTGTCCGGGCATTCTTTGTTTGTTTCGCTGCAATGCGCTCTACCCAGACCCTTAAAGGGATCCACAAATTGTAGTACCCTATGCTAGTACATTCATAGATAGATAGATAGATAGATAGATAGATAGCTAGAGAGAGAGAGATAATATATAACAATATACATATATATATGTATACATATACATTTTCTTATACATTGAGTATACCATCGCAAGACGCCCCCAACTTTACTTTCTAGGTCCTCCCAGCGGCCTGTGCTTCAGGTCTCCCAGGAGTTTGCGAGGCAAGCACGTGAGATGGCGGAGACCAGGACAGAAATCAGCCAACATGCTGCTCCCAATGCAGCCTGCCGTGATTGTATGAATGTATGCTACGTACTGTCTACATATAGTCCCCCTTAAATAGATGGAATCTGGCTTTGGGCACATTACAAGAAGATCCCCCTATACTATATGCTACATGTTGTCTGCATATATATATATAGATATGTGCATGCATACATATATATTCATACCCGCAATACGTGTCATTGTATAAGAATAAATACACACATCTAACATGTGTTGACCATTGACAGATGCAGACACCAGCCGCCAGCTTGCAGTTTCTCCGAGTCTTGGGTGCGAGGATCGTTGAGCCAGGGTGCGACATCGTGTGGGGCGCCAGGATTAGGGTTTAGGGTTTAGGGTTTAGGGGTTAGGGGTTTAGGGTTGAAGGCCAGGATTAGGGAGGATTGGGGGGAGGTTATATGTAAACATGCGACTGTCGGAGAAAGTTTCAATGTCCCCTACTTCGATGTTAATTGGTAGCTGAAACTTTGCGTGATATCCAGTCTCGGACTTGAACTGCATACACACTCCTTAGAGCTACCCTTAAACCTCAAGTTTATCACAGTGCATCAGGGAAATCTAGCAACCCTGGATTCTTTGTTAGGAGGACGCTTATGGATCTCCAAGGATGTGAGGAGGTTCTGGACATGCTCCTGCCTAGAACCTCTTACAATCACAATGTTTCCATACTGTAGGGTCCCTAGATCAGGGTACCCCTTTTGTTAACAATGGGATTCTGGTAACCCCAACCTCCCAAAATAGGACCCTATAGCCATGATATGATGGTCATAGGGTCCTAGTTCGGGGGGGTTGGGGTTACCAAAATCCTTTCACTATTTGTGGGTCCATAACCCTACTCCCTAAACCCTAAACCCTTAAAAAAAAAACCCTAAACCCCAGATCAGGGTAGCCCTTTTGTGACAGCCTCACGAGGGCACGGCTTGCTTCAGCTTACTTTTCGGGATGTGATCAGGCCAGAGGCGCTGGTGAATGAGATGGTGAACAGCCGGGAGACTTTGCCCGAGGTGGGTGAAGGTTTAGGGCTTAGGGTTTAGGGCTAGGGTTCAGGGATTTGGTACTAAGGTTTGAGGTTGACAGATTAGCGATTAGGGTTTAGGGTTGAGGG